ACAAACCATCTTTTTGACACAGAATTGCTTGTCTACCGATCGATACCTGGCAATGCGATCATCTCCCGAATTGAGTGGCCAGTGCTTTGTGGTAGCCTAGGCAAAGCTCTTCCACGCCTTTCAAACTTGCGTGCCGTGCAAGATGGCCAACGTCCGCTAGAGAATCTTCGGCGTTCGATCCATGGTCAAAAGCTTGATTTATCAAACCTTATTAGGATCATTCTTGATGACTTCCACCTGTCCCAACATAGCCTGGTGGCCAAACAGATTGCTATGATGATTGTCGGGTGGACGCGAGCTACTCTAGCGTGTGGCTTTACAAAGATCTACGAAACTCTCTCGAATGTGGCGTAGGCAAACAAGATATTGATGAACTTGATTGTTGGTTATACACTACCGTATCGCGGATCGTAAGGGTCATTTAATTTGTCTCCCCATCAAAGGTACGAAGAATTGACAATATGGTCTCTTGAATCCTACTATTATCGCATCCCTCATTCCTTAAACACCATCGAAAGTTAGGAGGCTTTGTATATGCACTTTGCCAAAACCGCGCTCCTGCAGCAGTTGTCGGCCACGATGAACAGGAAATTCAACGACCACCATGACTTTGACATGAGTCAAACAAATGTTAGCTTCCTTAAGAAGCCGTAAAACAGCATGAAGCGTGTTCCCAGTGGCGAGTATGTCGTCTACAACCACGATTAACCCACCCCTCTGGATTGCACCCTCGCAAATCCCAATGTGTCTTACTCTGGCAGACTGAGATCCCGATGCAGAGGCAGATATATGCGAGGCAGAGATAGGGACTATTATGGTGGGTGGAGGTAGTTTTTCTGCTTCACGGATTGGCGTGAAAGGGATGTTAACTTTTGAAGCAAGTGGTGAAGCAAATATGAACCCCCCAGCCTCGCAAGAGGTGATGGTATTAACTTTATTCCAGTCCCCTGCGAAAGAAGACTGCAGCAAAGAGGTGCACAGAGCCAGCCCACCAGGTTGCTCGGCGATGCTCAAGACATGCCGGAACTCGACACCTGGGCGCGGAAAGTTGGGCACACAACGAACAATCTGGGCGAGCCACTGAAAGTCTTCGCGAAGGAATGGAAGCAATCTGCTCTCCGCAAACCTTCTTGCCCCCTCCCCTCCAGTTTGATGATTTTCGAATACAAAGGTTGGGCAGTGTCTCAAGGGAGTCGAATTTGAAGTATCATCATCAGTGAGACCCTGCCGTCGGCCCTCTCGGATGCTGTCAGTTGTCCTGACATGTACCTCCAGGACTCTAGTGGTAGGCACTAGATGCGACATGGCTGCAACTGGAGCTTCATCTCTCATGCCTGTGATTATAAGAACATCGACATCTGTAGCCTCGTGGACCACATCAAGAAAATGCTCCTCGGGAAGATGCGGCCGTTGTCGGACCTGGTCTTCATAGAACCGCGTTAACTTGGATCGATGTTGCTCTTTGTAAGCTCGATCTTGAAGCAGACGCTCCAGATTGGCACCGGTGGCTACGGCATATTCTCGCTTGGTCGCATCGCTAATGCTTACAGCGCGTGCCACAACACTTCTCTGAATATTCTCGGTGAATACAGAAACCCAGATGTTTTCACAGAAGTCTTTTCCGGCTCCGTTTTCACCAGTGACCAGAATAATGAGCTTCTGTGCTGCTGGCACTTCTGGCAGCGGACACGTATAAGTCAGGACATCGGATGGATCGGTGGTATGTTTGAGGTAGGCTAGGCGCTGCAGATTCGGTCCAAATGCCTTAGCCGCCAGTGTCACGTCTCTTGGGTCGGGCCCCAAATCTGCGCCATATACCCCACAACTCAGGGGTAATAAGTCCGCAGCCACTCGGTATACCCACTGCACGACATCTCCGGAATTTATCACGGTATCGTCGTTTAGAGACCACACGCCTGTCACGATACATGCATAGTCCCAACCGCGACACCCGAAAGCGGTCATATCAGGTGCCACGTTGTTGACCGCCTTACCACCATGAAGCAAATGAAGGTAGCAGAATGGGGACGGACGACTCTCAATAGCTCGTACTAATGTCGCGAAAATCTTTGGCGATGAAATGCTGTTCAAAAATAAACAGCGCTTGAACGACGAGGTCTTGTTACCACCATGCCCGCCATGCATTCTGGACATATACATCTCGGCGTCAAAAACTTCCACACCATCCATAACCCTCAGAGTATGTTCTGTTCCGGACGTGGGGCCTATAGGAAGAGAAACATGTGAAAGAGGCTCCACGTCACGTCCAGGTATTGAGCATTCAAACACCGTCACTCCAAGGTGCATCCGGCCATCTTCCCAGTAGATATATGCATCTGCTGAGCAATTCTCTGGCAGCTGCCCCGCCAGCGCTTGGTCAAAAGCGCTCATTTCATGCTGTGCATGCTGAAAATCCATCAGCGGAACACTCCATTCTCGAACCATGTACGTCGGAGCTGGAAAGGCTTTGAAGGCCACGCTGATTATTATGCCAATGTTCGTCCCAGCGCCCTTTGTCGCCCATAAAAGGTCGGACTGGTTTTCCGGATGGACAGCATCCATCGGGCGGTGTTCACCGGGTACATCGCCGATGCAGAGGACCAGACCTGATCGAAGACTGACAGCAATGACACCGACAATGGCATCGCATGTGAGTCCATAGATTCTAGCCAGGTGACCAATGCCACCTTGCAGCCACAGCCCCGCGCCGGTACTTGGGCGGGCACCTAAAGGCACGGTCACGCCGGCTCCCATAGTCTTACGGACAATATCGCCTGCCTTGCAGCCCGCTTCAGCGACGACAAGCGGCGTACGATCCGGATTAGTCCCAGCTTCGTTGTTGCTCGCGTGAAGAATATGAATCTGATCAAAATAAGACATATCGACCGCCACAATATTGGGTTGTAGGCAGTGGCCGCTGTGGCCACCACCAACGACAGTGAGGCTAGTTCGATGCTCAAGAGCCCATCGAACACAATCTTGGACCTGTCGAATCCCCGTCGGTTTAACGATCGCTGCGGGACAGTGGAGGCGAGCTTCCCAGTTTTTTACTCGCATGCTCTCCACAAAGGGAATTTGAGCAGTCAGCTCTGGGAGCGACTTCGAATGCTTGGTGAAGGCTACCATCGATTGGGGTGAGCTGAAAAAAAGCTGCTCTGAAAGATTGGCTGGGCGTCGGCCCAAGGTTCGGCATACTTCACGCCACTCCATCCTGGTTGCCTTAAATTCCTCTCCGTCATGCAAGGTAAATCCTGCAACGAACGAAGCCAAAGTGTCCAGTACATTGTCGTCATCGGGCACGGAGATCTCCCCTATGGGAAATAGAGCTGTCCGATGACATACTAATCTGCCAAAATCTGGCCGATCGCGATGAAAGACCACCGCCATTGCGCCCTCAGAATGTTCAGCGAGCATCTCCAGTGCTTCTTCGATGAAGTTCACTTTGGGATTCAAGCCGTACATGCTGTGACAGAATAGAATTAGGTCGTACTTTTCACCAGCCCGAGGTGTATCACTGGATTTATCCGTCATCGTTTTACCATGTATGGAAAACGGCACTCGATGAATGTTGACAGAGCTTTTCAAGCGTGGAAAGGGCAGCTCTGTACCTGAATTGGAAAAAAGCCACTTTTCCAACGCGGTAGAAAAGAGATCGTTAGGTTCGAATGCGGTGTACGTTCCGATCTTTTGTCTGAGAAGATGGGGAAGGCGTCCAAGTATACTCTTGGGCCCAGGGCCAATTTCTAGCACTGATATACAATCCCTCGAATTGAGGAGGGGCGTCAGCAACCTTGATAACTGAGGGATGATAAAGTCCTGATAGATGCTCCATCCCGATCCCTGAACTATTATCTCGAACCCATTTTTGTACGCTTCGTCTGATAATGGATGCGTGGATGCTGCGGCCGCCATGGCCTTCTGCCTCAGAACGGATTTGAGTGTTTCGATGCTGGTCATTTTGTTAATGGTGTAGCGATGTTAAGAGATATGGATAAATAAGTTTCATTTCTCATGGTGAACTCCTACTTAACAACCTCGAGTTTAGTCTCCCTGTCAGCTGAGCAAGATAGTTGAAGCGGGGTGATTGATACGTGGCACCTCAAGTCATGGTTGACTGACTAGGCCCAGTGCTAATGCATGTGACTAACCATCACTCTTGCATTTGAGGTATATTTAATGCTAGTCAGGCCAAGGGTCAGACGTTACTGCTTTCACCTTCCGACTTGAATCCAGAACCTCCTTGTGATATATGTTGAACACAGGTGTCTCCGACATTTATATGGAACTTCGAGCTCTCTTTATCCAAATCACTACCCTTCTGCGCACCAGTCTGGAAGTATCAATGTGCACAACGTGCTCATGCAATCCTGTTAATGATTCGAACCTGCTTCAGGCGCCAACCACTGACTCCATCTCCAACAAATTGGGCCAGAGCACCAAAGAAGCTCGTGAGATGCACAGTCCACTGTATGTCTAAAGGATCAGCTGCTACTAAGATCTCTAATTATGAATAGCTGCCAGCAATCCACCCGCTCCCTGTCTTACGATGATCAGCTAGCAGACGGGGTGTCCTCAACCGATTCTCATCGATTATGCCGCGAAACACAACAGGTCTCCGCATCAACATCCACAGAACAAAGCGAAAGTGTCAGGAAGCTTGCAGAAGCTGTAAGAACAATCTTTGAGTGTATTGGGGAAAATCCAGAGCGAGAGGCCTACGTGCGACGCCAGAGAGATATGCCAAAGCAATGCTATATTTTACCAAAGGATATTCCGAGAATATTCAGGACTTAATTAATGGGGCGGTCTTCCATGAGGACCACAGCGAACTTATTATCGTGAAAGATATCGATATCTTCTCTCATTGCGAACATCATTTGGTCCCCTTCACTGGAAAGGTACATTGAATTTTAGATCAAATGTGAGAGAATGATACTGACCGTACACGGCAGATGCATATAGGATACATCCCAGATGGTCGCATCCTAGGTCTCTCCAAAATGGCCCGTTTGGCTGAGATGTTTTCTCGCAGGCTTCAGGTTCAAGAACGACTGACCAAAGAGGTTGCCACGGCCGTATTCAACGAGCTGAAGCCCAAGGGTGTCGGGGTCATCGTGGAGTGCATTCACTTATGCATGGCTATGCGCGGTGTTCAGAAGGTGGGGAGCTCTACAACTACCAGCTGTATGCTTGGCTGCATGTTGACGAACTCCGAGGTCAAACGTGAATTCGTGTCACTTCTTCATCTGAAGTGACTGGCCTACCCAGCTCCTTTGTGATCACGGTCACCACTAATGGGGCTCCTGTATTGCCTATGGTAGACCATGGTTTTAATACCACTAACGTCGATGTTCAACTGTTTCATGATCCTGTTATTTCCTTGACTACGTTACTGTCTCTGTGTAAGAACGAATGTCACTCATGTGGGTCTCCAGAGGTCGGTCAAGAAAGAAACGTCAGGTCCCACAGGGCTTGCATTCGGAAGAGGACACATGAACTCATTTTCTACTCTAATCAGCTGTATGTGCACTTTGACCTGTCAGTTGTCTTAACACATTCACGGACAAAGAGGGAATTCTGTCGGATGTTGCTAATTGAAAAGTACCTCGACGATCTTTCCTGTTTTCGGTAATTACGGCGGATAACGACCGCAATACCCCAATTGATATAAGGCTCGCTAACAAGGGCCGCTAAGGTGGAGTGCTACGTACCACGAATGGCCTTCTTTTTCTGGATTATTCGACCCATCGGATTTGCCTCCTTGTTGGTCTTACTTGGACCTTAGCATTTTAGGTGCAACAACTCAGATATATTATACAGCCATTTTGTACGATCAGCAACACCGCCCAGATATTCCGGTGCATCTACCTATATGTGACTGGAATGCAGTCGCTAGTGACCCTGGCCATTAGTTTAGATAAATCTGGCATAGCTCATTGGAGCACAAGTAACCTGCTACACTTCTGGCAGGTCTAAATCCAGGACCCATTATAATTGTGATAACGATGGTAAATGTCATCCACCAAGCGGTAATGACAGCGATGACATCTTTGATTGATTAATCAATGCAGATGGGCTAACTATTAATTTCTCTGCTAGAGGTAAACCACGAGCGCGAAAGTATACTATATGTTGAAAAGCGTATTCAATAATTCACCAAGAAATCAATATCATCATAGTCTCTGAAACCAAACCCGTCTTTGTGTATATTCCCTCGCCTTGCCAATTTTGCAACGCCTCCCTCCCTCCTTCGGTGTAACGAAGTCAGCAAACACGAGTTCAATCCCCTGATTTGCCATGAAACCGACTCTTCCGTGAAATGGGTTTCGCGTCCCGGCTTTTCGCCGCTGAGTTTCCACTGACTGGACTTCTACCTTTTCGCTCTGGGGACAATCGTCCTGTACCAAAAGATTTTGAATTCTCTTCAAATTCATTAGCCTTTGCTGCCGTCCCAACTATACCGTTCGGACCCTCTGATTGGCAACGAGAGGAGTCGTTGTCATCGAAAAACTGAGGTCGAGAGTCGCTATCTTTAATCCACAATAGACCAGGGTAAAGCGGTTTTTCCCCGCCTTCACAATAAATATGAGGAAATAAAACCATTGCTGCGGGGCCAGAAGTGGAGGGCGCGATCGTTTGATCGGTATTGCTGTAGAAGCGCCAGCTATCACAAAACATGTTTGAGTTATATGTGGACATAATCCACTGCGTACATCCTCGCACTGCATCCCACAGGCAAACGGCTGACCGGAGGAAAGCCTCGAGCTCTTCTCGAAAGGCATCTCCTCCTTTGCGAGACAGTAGTGGCTCCAATTCCTCCATCACATCAAGGGACACTGACCCGACAATGTCATCCTGCAATCTCTTCTCCTCTGCAAAAAATGTTTTGAAGAAAAGGCTCCGGAGAATAGCTTTTTGTTGCGATTGAATCTCGTCGGACCTCTGGATAGCCTCTCCCATGCTTATACGGGATACTGGTGAGGCCATGTATAGCGGACTGAAGATCAAAGTAGACAAATGTTCTGCAATTATTGCTTGAGCCACCAATGGGCGCGGGTAGACTGAGGAAACAAGAAATGAGGCTAATCGAGAGGCACGATGGAAGTTTCTAGGTCGATGAACGACCATACGATTGTCGCCCTATAATCACGTTAACGACAATTATTTACCTGCTTCTTAAGCCCATGCACTCACTTGATGTACATGCAAAGGTGAATCTGTGAAAAACTTCGCACACAATGTGTGGAGTGAGCTTTCCAAGGTTCTCAATTCCTGAACGCTGCGTGAATATCAGCGGGGCCCACGTCTTGACCAGCATACATCATACAAGGCTGGCCTAAGTTCTCCTACCCCAATATCACCTTTGAAGTGTCGTAAGCAGTTCTCTGTCTTCTCAAGGCGAGACTTGAGCCCCGATGCGAGGGTTGTTTGGTCATCTAATTGCCTCTGAAGCTGATTCAGATCTGCATCGTACTCTCGACATTTCTTGGAAAGCGCTTCCTGATTGCTTCGCGTTTTCTTATCTGATTCTTCTTGTATGTCTTGGATTTGGTTCTTCAAAACTTCCTCCATCTTTGACCACTTGTGAAATCTTTTTTCAAAGTTCTCAAACATGCTGCTAATTTCTTTTCCATGCTCTTGCAGTTGCTGGTCTTTCTGCTTGTTAGAAGCCTCTGCCATCTCAAGCTGTTGCTGCAATCTCTTGTTGTCATTTTGTAGATCACCGAAAGAATTCAACAGGTTACTTAACTGAAGCGTCTCTTTTATTGCCACCTCGAGATTCTTTAGTATTGCTGTAGAGTTTTTCGTTTGGGCCTTCAAAGTAGGTGACATTTCGAAGCTTTACCCTAAGAAATGTTATCGATTGTGCCAGAATCATTCTGTCTATATGTTAAGAAATGATCCCATCGCCTATAAGTGAGGGGTTTACACCGCCAGTCCCACAGGCATGAGGTTTAGTCACAGTGAGGAGGCACTGCCTCCTAACATGCGCCCTCGCAGCTTCTGGCACGATTTTTGCATATTATATAATTGTGCATCATTCTTTAAGACATAAGAGAGTTGACTGAGTTTTCAGCATCGTGTTGAAAGTATTTGGTTCTTTTACTCAAGTAAACATATGCGAGAAGGTATTACTAACGTCTAATGTTTAACGCGTTTTGGGGAGCATGAATAGCCGAATTGAAGGCATCCGAGACATAGATCTTAAGATCCGAAGGCTTTGGCGTCTTCAGCTGTCCTTTGGAATCAAACATCAGTGAATTTCTTTTGTAAAAGCTGCACAATATCTCAATAATACCTCCTTTCTATATTTCAAATTACATATTATTCATGTCAATTAATGATAATACAAATCTTCCCCAAAATCCGAGGTACAATATGAATAACGCGGGTTGCGGTGGCATGAACCTTTGCCAAAAGGGTTTGGCCCAGCTCCTCTTCCTTTCAACAAATCCCTGCATGAGGCACACGCCAGCTTGGTACAACCAGGACACCGGAATGCGAATTTTCGAGTAACGATCAAGCAGTAACTGCAAGAGCTGCGACCATCAACTCGGCTCCACCATCCCTGATGATGGCACGTTGCTTCAGTAGGACGATTCCGCTTTCGTTCGCCCTGACTTGACTTGTGCGATTCCTTGACTTCCTGCTCCTCACTAGATTTACCATGTCGCCAGCGTGCTTGTTGGGCCTGCCTTTCGTGTTGTTTCCTAAGCTTCTCCGCCATCTTTCTATTGGCCTCCTGACGAAGTCGCTCTTCTTCCATCCTCATCTTCTCTTGTTCTTCTCGTTTTTCTCTATCCTTCTCCTTCTGAACTTCGGCCTCAGCTGATGCGATACTTCTCTGGGTACATCTGATGGCATTTTCCTGGCCTTCAACAAGAAGGGTCTGTCGCTGAATCATACCATTCTTGATGCTCCTTGCTGCTATCTTCTGAAGCCGATGATATTCTCTATCAAACCTCTCCACTTCCGTTTGCAGGTGTCCCTGCAAAAGTGAAGCAAAATACCCCAGCCATGTCGCATTTTCAGATTGTTCCCTTTCGATGTCCTTGATTTCCTGCTGTAGGCCACTCATCTCGCGATGTAGTCCCACCAAGTATGTCCGCGCGCGATGCAAATCAGCTTCTTGCCTGCGCAGCTGATCATTAAGCTGTTGAATTTTTCTACCTAAAGCTATGATTCTTTGTCTCGCCTCATTTCTGTCCTTCTGGGCTGTGTTCGTCGATTGATTTGCCTGAGGCGATGTGGCGTTGGGGGAATTGGTAAACAGATAACTAGCGTCGTAGATACTGCGGCTAGTAGGGTCGACCAGAGTTGAATATGCTTGTTGAAGCTAATTGTATTGTTAGCCGATGATGGGACTATAGGCGTAGAGGGATATGCATGCCAACTGGAACTGAGAAGTAGCTGTAGAGCTGGAGTTCTTATCAGGATGTTGAATCCTTGCCAGGCGCCTGTAACTTGATTTGATGCTGCTAATGTCTGCCGTTCGTGGAAGTTCGAGCACTTTGTAGTAATCCTTAACAACTTGGTGAGAAGACATGATGCTCTAGTCTTATGTACGCTTTCGCTTTCTTAGTAGCTCCGTCGGCTGTTTCTCAAACAAGGGATCAGAAACCACAAAATAGGCAACGGGGGACTTGGGGACCTAGTTTTCTGCCGAGATACCCCGCTTACCCTCATGTCCTGCAAGCCACCTCCATTTTCGTAATGGAGAAGGACCTAGAAGCCTCTGCATGTATGATTTAGCATAGTTACCTACTTTTTGGAACCTCCGCGACACCGAACCGCCGTTTCTCACTACAACCACTACTATAGAATTTAGAACTCTGCCATTTATGTAGAACAGGATAGTAGGATCGCATACAATGAAAGGGCCGAAAACATCGACCATTCATCCTTATTCGAGGGTGGGCTTTCGATGGAAGGACGGCTACAGTTAATCTTCGCCCTTAATAAGGAAGTTGCGGGCGGCCAGTTTTCTCGGTAATACCACATTCTCGAACTGCTCAAAAGTTGTACATAGTAGTTATGATACTCTTTCGTTTAGTAGGAACCTGTATACCACGCCGGCTACTTTTAGCTCGTGAGGCTTCGGATTTGATTGTCCAGAGCGGGCCCAGATAAAGCCGCGGAAACCCCATACACCGAGAGGATGCACGCGTGGCTAAACAAATGGTATATAAGTATTTCCCGGGGGTTACAGTTAATTGCAGTCATTTTAGGTACACATTGCGTCTTATAAAGTAGAGACGAAAGCTCGGTAAAGGACTGAATCTGCTCGTAAGAACATTTGGGGAGGGGATATTAGAACTCATATTTAATCTAGAGATAAGAAATAACACTATAGCTACTGCAGATAGCAGGTAGGTTATATTCGCTCGTGAAGGCCTGCGACTCTAACGCTCGTAGGCTTTTAAACCCGACCGAAGGTACGTTTAGCGATTTTGTCGATCTTCTCAACTACTCTCAAGGTAACATCCTTCGGGAAGCCAGCAAACCAGTTTGGCCATCATAATTAGCTCTATTAAGCGGTACGCTGTAGTTTTATCAACCATCTCCTTTAGAAACAGTTAATCCATGTAGAAATTAGAGCTGGCGAAAGTTTCACCGTCTCTATTACATTTAATTCAATGTGGAGAAAATCCTTTGCCAATGTAACTTCGACGAACATCTGTGTTTCTCTGATGAGTGAGGCATACAGAAGGGACGGACTTGGCTTAGTTGCCTACACAACGGAACTCCGAGTGAAGCCCGGTGCAACTATACGGCCCAAAGCAGATTCATGGGGGGGGGGGGTGGAGAGGTGGCAAAAATGCCAGGTTACCAGATTCTCCAATCCCGTCGTCGCCACTGGGTGAGGTTCTTGCAACAATTCAGCTCCATGATCTTCTAGATTGTAAACCGGAAATCCTTTCTCCTCTTCATATCACCAATACGCAGTATTTGGCTTCCTATAACTGGGTCAATGACGGATAATGCAAGATCGTTATTCCAGGTGAAGGCCTTCCTCATAAATATACAATAACACTACTAAACGAGTGCCTTCTGTAGAGAAGCCTCCTGCATGGACGCTACTTCATAAACCAACTCAGCTGCGTGCGGACTCTGATGTCTATTTTGACGATATAAATTTGGCAAGATACTCCATCTACCCACTTGAGCCGATAATTCCAGCTACTTTAATGGATAAACCGACATTTCCTATTGAGGATTTTGATATTATGGCCTATAGCAGTACACTTGAGAATTTATCGAGATTCGCGTGTGACGAAAGTTATGCATTTAGAGTAATGGTTGAGGTTATTAGAAGTACACTCTTTTTTTAATAGAAGGGAGAACTCGCCGAACAAAATCATCTAAAATATTTAAGGGCTTAGACATACATTCTAGAGACATACACAACGTGGGGCAAATGTATTCATATACCAGAGTCTTATCAGCGTATGTTCAACTTTGATTTTGCCCACATGAATTGTCTAGTGCGGTTTAAAGCGGATGGTCACCTTCCTGACTTATCTCTGAGGGCTTGGAGAACCATAATGACACTATCACAAGCGATATGGAGTCTAAAGGCCTCCTTTTATCCTTCCAAGCGACTAAGATTTCCACTGTGCACCCAGTGACTGCCAAGAAAACGTCAAGTGTTTTAAAGTTATCTAAAGGGGGCCGCTCTATCCACGACATGCGATATCTGATCTAAAGACGTGTTCCACACGTAAGGCTAACATAGATAACCTTTCAGAACAGATGAGCCAGTTGTAGATCAGAAGACGACATTAGTACTCTTCCCAGAAACCTTGGAAGAGCTTTGAGGTCATAGCAGCGTTAGTAATGATCTTAAATCCGGTGCTACATACACATCTCCCTCGCTGCGGGACACAATTGAGTATCCCTAAACAACACAAAGCTTGAAAGATGTCTGCATGATTAAAGTATAAATCTTAGAAGCTATTGCTGGACTCCTATGATCTGGTTTTCGAGAGACCCAGGGAAAAGAGATAATCCGTACGCTGAAATCAACTAGCAGGTGCAGCACAAGGGATAATGAGAATTATTGTACGACTTGACATACGTTCTTTGATGTAATAAGTTTGGATTTAAAAGGGAAATACAAGCGTTTGCTAGATGAATCTCATTGAGCTGGCATGTTATAAGGTGTAACACGATTGAATGAAATCCTACTTCGATTCTTAATTGGATTCCGCCCGGGACGGTCCGAGGTCTCTAAATGTGGGTAGTCATTGTCTTCGTGTACACCTTAAATCTATTTTGCATGCGGAGGATAGATGAAGAAAGCCTCTCCCCCTACAAAACAAAAGAAAACACAGAAAACGCAGCTATGGCGTCGAGTAATGTGTTCCTTAGAAGTCCGTGCCCGTGAAGACGGGCTACAGAGACAGAACGCTTCTACCGCCATCTGATGTTAGTCTTTGCCGGATATTAACAAGCATACTGCCATGATCTAAGTGAGTGAAATTCAACTGGCCGTCCTGCACTGTAGCCCCAATAATGGCACTTGGGGCAAATACAAGAGCCTCTCCTACGGAGAGTCCGACGACCTGATTGAAAAGAGAGGGCGGCTTCGCAGATGTCTCATCAGCTTGTGATTCTGTCTGTGCACTAAATGGACCTTGCGAAGCTCCTGCTAAATGTTTCTACAAAGAGCGCAGCCATTCTGGCGATGTAATTCGGTGCACAATAGTTACTGAGCAAAAATCAAGCAAAGATGTGGAAATTGTTTGTTCTTGCGTTGAGATTATCATGCGAACCCCAAGATGCCGTTGAAGTCGTACTGCAGACAAAAGAGTGTCTGTGAATCCGCAAGCTTCAATGGAGCTGTTCATGTACGGGAATAATACGTGAGATACCCAGGTATCTTCCTAGGATCCGTGGGGAATTCAAACCTTGTGGGCTTCATCCAAGGCCACTATCCTTCCGACTCTTGTGTACTGCTCTAGAGACAGGCCAACGCAACTTCTGAATAAGGAATATCCTGTATCAGACGATATACATGGACTGGATAAATCGACAATTGCCAATTGGCGCCCCTGGTTCAGCAATTAGTATACTACGACCTTGTGATAAGGCGTGCAACTTACCTTCGCTGTCCAGTCCGAGCCTCTCAGACGGGCCTTTTTGTCCTTTCCGCCGGTATTAGCATACTGGCTAGGGGGCATAAAGCTCTCTAGTGCCTCAAGCCGCTGGCTGAGGGAGTCTAATTGAGAGGGTGTTAGACTAGCTGAAAGAATTCTCCTTTAAAAGTTTGGTAATCAAATCCGGCTCCGGACTCTTGTTGAATCATGCGCATATTGCGTAGTATGCGCTTAGCAGTATGCATATACAGCGGCATTGGTCTATCATCCTGCCCAACAGCCATAAGATCCAGCATCCGCTTGGTGTTGAAACTTTCCTGGTCAATTGGCAATGGTTCGACTGATATAGTGAATCTGGAATACGTGCTCTGCTCAATGAGTCAATACATATCGTCAGATACGGACCAATATTTTGCCTTTCTTTTTAGTGTATATATTGCTACAATTTCATTGTGATTGGAAGAGCAGCACATAACGTTATGCGACTATTTCCGATTTTAGTTCATCCAAGGAACTGTATATCAGTTTTTCGATCATCGAGCCTTTACGAAATGAACGTTGAAGTATAGAAAGATGATGGTGCTGCGGTATATCTAGCTGCGCTCGGAAAAAGTGCAAGTGGGCACATTGATGATGACATTAGTACGCACTACAGCTCTCGAGGGCGGGGCCGTCACTCTTTGGTGATAATTATCAATTAAAGCCTTACTATTACATTTACCCTGCATCCACAAAATGTCCTTGAAATTCTTCGCTCGAGATTCCAATTATCTGGTAGATATGCATGTTTCAGCCATTTCGCCTCCCAGCCGGCGATTCTGCTACTGTAACTTTTATCATCGTTAGATATGTACATAAAAGAAGCCCAGACACCAACCCTGCGGTGAAATTGGAAACGTGCAAAAGTCTTCTGTTCACAATCAGTGATTTATGCAGTGTTCGTATCTTAGGAACCACAGCCAGTAACTTAGCTGCAGTGGGAAATACTTCTTACCTGGGAGGGGACAGAGGCACACGGATGTAGGGCTACACAACACTGAAGGCACATCATTCATGCTAGACCGGGGCGTGGTCTGAGAAGCAAAAGAGATCTCTCACTCTTTTCGTAGATCTTTGGTCCTATCTTGTCTTTAGAAATTGGTTCGCTTGAACTCACTAGTCAAAAGGATCATGTGATCTCATAAAGACTAATATCAATCATCAGTAGGCCTTCGCGCACCGAGTCATTGTTCTCCACCGGATATACGTAACAAGTTTTGTATCCCTGATTTCCTCGTGGTGCCGCGTCAAGTCAAAGGCACAATGCTTTTGTTGCTCAGCCGGCTACGTATCTTCATCAAGATTTTATTCTGAATTGCTTAAATTTGTACTAGTAGGGGAGCAAAATCCTAGAGAATTGTGGTTGAACAATTTCGCCAAGGCTCTCATTCCTGCTTGTGTTCCACAAAGCATGTGCGTCGAAGTCACATTGGCAAAGAATTTTCTCCATATTGAATCAGTTGAAATAAAGACGGTGAACCTTTCGCCAGCCCTAAAATCTTACTTGTATCAATTGTCTCTAAAGGAAATTGTTGTTGGAACCACAGCGTGCCGCACGACAGAGCCAAGAACAATGGCCGAACGGAGTTACTGGCTTCCCGAAGGATGTCACCTTGGGAATCATCGAGAAGATCAACAAAGTTGTTGAACGTACGGTCGGTCGGGTCCAAAAGCCTACAAGTGTCAGAGGTACAGACCCTCACGATGGAATATGACCTACCTGGAATCTGCAGTAGCCATGGTGTCATTCTTCGTTCCCAGATCAAACATGAGCCCCAATATTCCCTCCCCAAATCTTCCCACGAGCAGATGCAGTCTTTTACCGAGTTTTCGTATCTGCTTCATACGACCCAATTTGGACCTAAACTCACTGGAGTCAGCTGTTATATCCGGAAAGCACTCATGTAGCATGTATTTAACCACGCGTGCATCCTCTTTGTGTATGGGATTTCCGCGGCTTTGCCTTGGTCCGCCAAAAGTGGCCGGCGTAGTATGTAGATTCCCACTGAACGAAAGAGCTTCGCAACCACCACAATTTTTGAACAGCTCGAGAATGTGGTACCACCGGGAAAGCTGAGTACCCGCAACTTTTACATCCAGGGCGAAGATCAGCCGTAGCCGCTCTGCAATTGAAAGCTCAGCATCGATCAAGAATGAATGGCCGATATTTTCGGTTCTTTCGTCGCATGCGATCCCACGGAGGGCTATGATCTGCTGTGGCCCCCCTATCTTCAAAAAAAGTGTGGCAAGGAATTTGTTTCCAAGACTAACAAGCCGATGTTGGATTTCTGGGCGCAAATATTCATCAACAAATGGCTCAAGCCCTTTCGCCGTGCACTTTTGTCTCTCCTGCGCTACGAATTCGTTGATCATATGCTGGATGCACTCGCGCACAGTGGGGGAAGTGGTCCTCTTTGAGTTCGTGGTCTGAGTCGTGCCGGATTGTGCTCCACTGTCCGATTGACAACGGCTCACCAACCGATCGTTCTCTTGCTCCTCGGGAGTAGTCGACATTGCTTCGGTATTCGGTTCTATGACACATGTCGACGTGCTCAGAGATGAGACGACAACGTAGTTTTCGACGGTCGTACCCTGTTCAAGTGCATTCTCATTTAAACACCAGTCCATGTCCAGTTCGGGGGCTGTCGTTGAGGGCTCTCTCGATAACCCATCCATTTGAGGTTCCGGCGATCGGCTGATGGGCAACCGATTCCCCGGGTCAAATAGAGTGTATACTATCGCATCTTCATACTGTACTCCCTCCGATTGCCGGGACACCAAGGCCGGGCTCACTGTTCCGGTATTTTGCGCTAATACTGGCTGTAGAATAACAGGCAAAATCTCCATCGTAGGGCTTGAAGCAGATAACATTCGTGGGCGAGAACCATTGTTGGCATCAATGAAGATACTTGTTGGCGACCCGCGTTAGCCCCTTCAATCAACCACACTGAGCCCATTGGTCTTACTTCAGCGTGGCACACAAAGCAGCCTTTATATCCCAACTATCCAAGAACACGCCGGCTATTATTGCATTGATTGCTTTCCGGTGAACCTCGGGTGAGGCTTTCTCGGTTCGCTCGTTTCTTTTGATACAACCGTCAATGCCAGTTTGCCTGGCAGCCAGCGAATAGTGGGCTTTGAGGATAAATTCCTGTCGTAAATTGTGGGTGCTCTCTATTGTTGCAGCGGTCAGTATAAGAATGGTTCTGTACTACGGTAATTCGGGTATCTTACTCCTGTCAACACCCGTCCCATATACTGTGATAGCTAGAAGAAGATCCACTAAGGATGCTCCAATTTGAGACAGTCGTCTATAGCCATCATAATTATTCTCATCGGCTCCAGCCGCTATGAGTGCTTGGGAAATTAAAGCTTTCGTCTTGAACTTGTATTTGATGACATTTTCGACGTGCTGGATGTGTATATCCGTAGCCATTGTAGGTTTGAGGATGCCTTTGTGATGGTTAGCCACACTGGTGATACATAACTCTTCCGCACAGAACTGATGGATACTCGATATTTATCACGCGACTGGAATTATGGGCGATTCAGGCCAGCATGATTGACCCTCAATATCTGCAGCAGGGTTGCATAATACTTTTGCCCACGTCATGGTTGGCCACGTCAGATATTGCTTGATGGATAGCTGTCAGTTCATCAATGGTCAGTTGGGTTCACATAGTATGCCTTTGCCTCCAACAAACGAAACATCCGATACGGCAGGTTTGGTGTGGCGGCAGGGCAGGCCTATCGGCCTCAAAGGGTTTACCAAATAAGTGATCGGTAGATGGGTCTTGCAGTAGTGTTGAGTCTGGTACGGTCTCAGACGCTCCCCTAACGAGTGGTTGCTCTTGGCAGAACTAACCATCGACCTTGACACATCTAATCTTCATGTCACAAATACAAAATACCACCCGTCCTCAATTCGAAAAACAATGAAAGCAAATTGTCGACATATTACTGGGGTCAAATCATTCAGCCCATATAGAAAGTGCCATGCAGATCCAGGACATCAGATCCGCAACAATAACCATGGACGAAACAAGTCGCTACTGCTTCTCCCGGAGGAAGCAGCTACGCCGGCAACGAAGTTGCAACTCGCATGCATTGTCCCCATGGTTGCGGTCCTTAAAAGGCCAAGCTCGGTCATGAAGGCTGCGAAGCCCACAGCACTGGAAATTATCTTGTATTATTCGGATAGCATCGAAATCTGTTGCCTGGAAGTATGACTGCCACTGTCCCTCGATATAGCAAAGAAGGATACTATGAGGGGTATTGCGGGATAGCACAACTGTGGCAACCACAATCTCCAAAATCAATTGGCTTTTGAGAAAAAAAGAGGCCGTGATATCCCGTAGTGATGAATTGTTCCAGCTGACTACGCCTTTGTCCAAGGCCTTAGTTCGAATCATTCTTCTTTCAATTTCTTGAATACTTAAATTACGATATTCACCACGACCAGGGTGACGGTAATAAAAGGCAAAAGCATGGTGATCGGTACCAAGAGCCAGGTAGGCAATGGGGGTCGCACGGCTGGTGAGAGTGACCATGCTAGACTTGAGTTGTCGATTAGAGGCGTGCTTGTTTCGTTGTGGGATGGAGCCGTACACGCCAAAACCGAAAGCGAATATAGAACCCTGAGCGGACACCCAAAAATGCTCAGGATGGGTATTTATTCATTGAGTCGATTGGTGCATACCACTCCGCTAAGGCAGGTGAGCGATGTCGTGGTTTGAGATGACAAAGGCATTGTGTCAGCTAGAGACAATTTTTGTTGCTGTTTGTACATGTACAGATCACGAAATCTGCGCGCGCCAGGCGTAGTAGAAAAGGAGTAAAATGTCCCCTTTATAAATCATGCATGGCCGTATCTAGCTAAATAAATTGGACACACACAAGATCACGTTGGGACACAGTTCTCGCTTTGCCTCGCTGTGTCTGACAACTCATCCAAGCTCCAGGGTCTCGTTGAAAGAATACCTCATCAAACTGCAGGTGGGGGGTCTAGACTCTCCGCCTTACTCCCACATATTTTTTGCTTTCCCTTCCCTCGAGTCCAACCAGACTCTGCCAGCGTCATCATCTCCCCAGCACAAAGCCTTGCACACCGGTCATTCCCGCGGACTTTAGGTCCTCTGACTTCCACGGATTCCTCCTGCGTACGTTCCCTAGACGTCTCTGCGATTCGCCCGATTCACCCTCCTCACGGAAATATCTTTGTATTGTCCTCCGTCTGCCACCAAGCGAGTAATATCCCAATATACACGTGTATAATACCGTATGATATGACGTTGGGTCCTTCCAGTAACCTCCGAGGACCCTAGACGTAATATGGTAAGCTGTGTTAGAATGTTACTGTATCAGACGTGCCGCTCTTTACCATTTTTAGCAATTAGGGAAGGGCCTGATTGCAATTGCCAAAAAGAGAAACACATCTACAACGTGCCACCACCTACTGCGCCCAAGTCACAAGAAAAAATGTGGTAGGAAAGCAAATGGATGTAATATCGAGTCGTATCGTGCCTAGAGGAGCTATCATCGTTATGCCGTGATAATGAGGAGAATAGGATGTGCACAGCATGAAATGTATTGGTTTCTATAGCAGGAACTTCTTTTAGCTCGCGTTCCCAATGCCATAAGTCCGCCGCTTTTGCTGATCAGACAAGGTCAAATCTCGGTGTCAACTTTAATAAATTCCCATGCTGTTCCGCTGTGTCCTTCACCAGCAACCACTAGATCTCTGCCAGTGTAGCCTCCTGCTTGCATTGCACGAAAGCCATCCCAATGCTTCACAAGCAGCTCATGGCCGCCATCCGAACACTGACGGACACAGAAAAACTCCCATTGCTTGTGGGCCTCAGCCTTTGCCACGAAACGCCAGTCCTTTTGGTTATCATGCCCAAGGAACTCCCCCGAAACTGCATTTTTGAAGCCCAGCCAGCGATCCTTGTTTTCAACGCAGCGCCAATGACTACCAAGCCCATCATCGCAATTGACGAATGCGCTTTCCTTATTCACAGGGGCCAAGCCTAAATTGCCATCCTTGAGTGTGATAACAAGCCCACTCTGAATATCGCGGATGATAAAAGTTGCTCCCTTGTGAGGAGCCACGGCGGCCGGTGAGGGATACGGCGGCGGTTCGAGGTCGGCCTGTGATTCAAATAGGCAGGTATGCGTGGGTGTCATTCTGGAGTCGCCTGAGGAAGTTGACGAATTGTCTATGTTCTCCATGAGATGGTCTGGTTGGAGTGGTGATTATGATGGTAAATAGTGAAGTTGAGAAACGGGGTTTCAAATGATCAGAGATGAGTAAAGAGCATAGAGGAGCTAAGCGGAGATCTCCGTCGGTACCCACCAGAGAAACTAAATCAGCAGCGAAGTGTTTGTGCTCTTTGTATTGTTTGGAGTGTTTGTCCCGTAGCCCACCCTCTATACTATTCCCAGTTGGGAAGTAAAAAGGTCTTCGTTTTGTAAACCCCAAAAAGGGAGAAGATCTACATATTTATCTTCGACCATTCTTGAGTGGGCGGGTCCAACAAACATCTGCCAGATATTGGGGTTTATGTCCCCCTCTCGGTAAAGAAAAGAACAGGAACAGTGCAGGATATAATGTCCGTGTTCGTGGAATGTTGTCTTTACGTCCTTAGAGACACACGAGTTGGTGGTGACTGAGCTGTTATTCCTGGCCGCAGGCATCGAACTCAGCACAGAAAGGATCCGTCCCATGCTCAGAGAGAAGTGTCGTAAAAGTGAAGCCGAGCGACAAACTTGAGTGTTCTGATGAGCTTTCAGAATAGGCAAGTCCCCGGCCGGTTACTGAATAGTACATGTCGTTAACCTGCCTTCAAGAATGCTTGGTTGAGTTGGTACCATCATTCACTCCGGCGGTTGGTATGTTTTCTACTTTGTAATAATGGCGTGTCTACTTGCGGTAGCGCCCGAGCCGGCTCATCGTAATGTGAAGCGTGCGGGTGAACATGAGATAACGACCGAGTCGTGATGCCGGACGAACGTACATCTCCGCGGGGTACCAAAGATTATTTCGCCAATATTTAGTACGACGGATTCAGGCCTTTGCAAGAAGAACTTTCACTTTACGCTGAAGTGGTATCATTGTTGCAGTTTTGATGTGCAGGTAAGTCTACTGTCGATCCACGGGAAGAACCGTGCTTCTATTGTTGCACTTAAGGTGTCAATGAATATATGTCTCGATTACCCTGGATCATATTCTGATACTTTGATTATTTGGGCACGCTGGAGCAATAAAATGGCTGTTCCTGAATCGAACATCATTGTCGATGCTTGTCAAGAGCCGACGGGGTCCTTGCCACTCCAGAAGTTGGACTGAGAAGAATACGACATATCTGTCGAGAAGGATGGCCACACGAGAGTGTTTAACTTGGATACGGGTATGTTGAAGATCATTTTTAAAAATCACATTCTGCCACTGACATAGGACAGAATTAAAGCCTATCCGCAGCAGCGACAGTATTACTCGTGATATGAAAATTGCAGCATGTATAAGAAGGATGATAGAATGCCTAGGAGAAGACCCTAACCGGGAGGGCCTCCTTAAAACACCCGAGCGATATGCTGCTGCTATGCTCTTCTTCACCAAGGGCTACGAAGAAAGTGCTCTGGATGTTGGCAAGGATGCTATCTTCAGAGCAGATAACAGTGATATTGTCCTTGTTCGGGATATCGAGTTCTTCAGCATGTGTGAACATCATATTCTAGCATTCATGGGAAAGGTACAATGAATATATGAGAACCATTCCCGGGCTTTGAACTGACGATTGTGCGCAGGTCCATATTGCGTATATTCCCGAAGGCCAAGTCCTAGGTTTGTCAAAGTTAGCTCGGATTGCAGAGGTTTTTGTACGCCGGCTGCAGATCCAAGAGCGTCTCACGCAGCAGATCGCTCAGGCTGTCGATGACCTTCTACATCCTCAAGGGGTAGCCGTTGTTATGGAATCTGTTCATACGTGCATGGTTATGAGAGGCATCCAGAAGACCAGCTCCATGGCTATTACGAGCTACAGAATGGGTGTCTTTAAAAGGGATAAGGAATGTGAGGAACGCTTCATGTTTTTACTTAATCTGAGGCAGCAATTTCTTGAATAGTTAATCTCAGTTGCGCCAGCATGTCTGAAGAAGCATGGGCTGTGCGGTATGCAAAATGAGTAGGGGAGGCTTGAACATGGAATCCATTTCCGTTCATGGGGCTACGCATGGACTTAACCGCATATGAAGCGGGCGTGTTTAGACTTTTCAGATGCCCCGTGCCGCCAGCGTGTAGAATAAATATGCTCTGCACTAAAGCATTATCGAACGTCAAGTCCGTCGTCAATAAAAGTCTATTTCTGGCCATCGACGCATTTACGGCACTCTTTGACCCCTTCACCCCGCATCAGTATATTGAAGTGATCTTAAAGTCGTTAAACGGAATTGACCCAATCATTATAAATATGCTTATCAATAGAAGAAGACCGAGTTACTCTGGGCTAAATTTTCTTTTCTTGCTCTTGAACTAGCACCCCCCGCTCTTAGAGACTCATCGATATTACGGCTGGTAACCACTGGTAGCGCCAGCCTTTAGGAAACGGCCAAGAATATATATCTGGAAAGTTTGCTTCTGCTTTCCCATCATTTCCACCACCAACACGAGAGCGACGGGCATGCAACATACTTGTCCACCTGAAATGGCCACACTCGACTCCCTCAAGCACGCACTACGGGAGAAAGCCGGAGAAGTAACATCATCAAGACAGCCGTTGTCCGACAGACAATACAGTGACGGTTTGGAGATCCTGGGACAGGATTCAGCATATCAAGGCTTTGTTACCCCGCAACTCTCTTACCTTCTTGTCTCTCTCTTCAACTCGCATATCGCTATATCGGTACTCGAGATTGGGCCCGGCCCGAAGAGCATATTTGGAACTCTGGCCTACGATCTTAGACGCAAGGTCAGGAGATACGTTGCATTCGAGCCTAACAGGATTTTTGCTTCGAGACTCGGAGAGTGGCTCGGTGCTACCCCAGACGCAGAATCCCCATTGCCCTGTCTAGAAAACCCACCTGACATCCGTCGAAACCAATTCGTCCCGACCAGCCATACAGGGAGTGGGACCAATACCGAAACGAGTGAAAGCCACGAGCAATTCGATTTCATCTTACTTTGCCATAGCATGTATGGCATGAAATCCAAACGAAAGTCCATCGAACAGGCGCTGGACATGCTTGTTAAGCGACCCGAAGGCGGAATAGTGGCCGTTTTTCACCGCGACGGGTCGCTGGATCTGGACGGATTAGTTTGTTATCGGATGAATTCATTCCCTAATGGTGTTCTTTATGTAGCAAATGACGATAAGGTACTGGACAATTTCGCTCCTCTCATCGCAGGTTTTGTCATGGGAGATACCGCGGCAGAAAAAGCTGTTCGAATCGGGTGGCGAGATATATGCCGCAAATTGGGGCATTATGAGGGAGACCACCCAGATCATCTCCTGTTCCGCTCGTCCAGCATCATGGCGGCATTTACCCGACATGCGACCACCTTGCCAGAGCTGATGGACCAGGTTCCATTTATGATGGACAACAAGGCGGTTAAAAACCGCGAGGCTCGTCTTCACCGACCGTCTGCGATTTTAAGGCCGACAGAGGTACGACATATTCAGGCGTGCATTCAATGGGCTCTGAAGTACGGGGTCAGCCTGACTGTCATTGGCGGAGGTCACAGCAGTCATTGTCTATGGCCAAATGTCGTCTCGGTCGACATGGGTGCCTTTAGTCAAGTGCATGTTGTTTTACCTGTGGACGACACAATAGATGGACCCGAGTCGGGTCCCTTCGTCGTCGCCGAGGCTGGTGCCAAGACCGGTGATGTTATTCGCAAGGCTATGGCAGCCGGCATGTCTGTGCCATTGGGTTCCCGGCCAAGCGTAGGCGCAGGGATGTGGTTACAAGGTGGCATAGGGCACCTGGCAAGGCTGTACGGGCTCACGTGCGACAATATTGCTGGAGCCGTGATGGTCAGCGTTGAATCAGGCGAGATCTTCTGCCTAGGTCATGTACCGAGCCAGCACCGATTCGCGTCTGCCGTTGTCCCAAAAACTGAAAACGACATTCTATGGGCGATCCAAGGGGCAGGGAATAATTTCGGCATCGTCATCAGCATCGTTTTTAACGCTTGCCCAGCCCCTGCCTACTTAGCTCGAAACCAGGTCAATCCGCTGAGCGACATCCTGGAGGCACGACTCAAGCTTAAAGATTACGAGGAAGTCTCTAAAAAGCTCAACCGAAACTGTTCGGCAGATGCGTATTTGTTTTGGGAATCGAATCAGTTGCATCTTGGAGTGACCATGTTTGAATCCTCTCCGATAAGGCTCAGCTCTGCAACACCTACTCTCGCTTTACCGCCTATGGGCACAATCTTGGGGCCGGAAGATGAAATCAAGTCCGTGGATGGCATAGGTATATTCGAGGCCGAGATATACATGACGAAGATGCACGGGGGGCACGGCGGCAGCAGGACTTCTGCATTTAAGCGGTGCTTGTTCTTGGAAACCGTCGGAGAAGTGAATGTAGCCGATATCTTGGTGAAAGCCATTCGCACTCGTCCTACACAACTCTGCTATTTCCATCTGCTGCAAGGTGGTGGAGCAATCGGCGACGTGGCCGCCGATGCCACTGCTTTTGGTTGTCGAAAATGGACATTTGCCTGTGTGATAGCTGGTGTCTGGCCCCGCGACAAAGACGGAGCCATGGTCGCCCAAGCTGCTAAGCAGTGGGTGTACGACGTCGCCAATGACTTGTTACCTTTGAGCAGCGGAGCTTACGGCGCAGATCTTGGGCCGGACCCTAGAGATGTTATACTGGCGGCCAAAGCTTTTGGTCCGAATCGACCGCGGCTGGCCCGTATCAAGAACATTTTGGATCCGCACAACGTGTTGGCTTATGCGTGTCCCCTTCCGAAAGCACAGATGAAACTGTCACTCGTAATTCTTGTCACAGGAAAAAGCTGCGTTGGAAAGGACTATTGCGCCAACATTTGGGCCTCCACGTTTAGAACAACCACACAACGTCGCCTACAGGCACGTGCAGTCAGCATAAGCGATGTGACCAAGCAAGAGTACGCGGCGGCCTCCGGTGCCGACCTGCAGCTGCTGCTCCGAGACCGTGCTTACAAAGAAAAACACAGACCAGCCTTGACAAAATCTTTTCAAGACCAGGTGCAGCACCGCCCTTCATTGCCGGAAGAGCATTTTCTGGATCTAGTACATAGCAACTTGGATGTAGATGTACTATTGATCACAGGGATGAGGGATGAGGCGCCAGTCGCGTCCTTCTCACATCTGGTACCAGAGAAGAGATTGCTTGAAATACGTGTCGAATGTAGCCAAAAGACGCGACGTATTCGACGAGCGTGCCACGGGGATGATAACGATGGTGACGACATAGAAAGCCACGTGAATAGTCCGAATCCAACAACCAGTGACGGTTACCCCAGGGCCGTCTTTCACAACAAGGTGAATGGACAGGAAGCAGCAATCGAGTTTGCCCATTCATACCTCCTTCCCTACGTCCACGAAAACCTACAGCGCCTGGCAACCATGGTTCGCCGGGTCCCCAATTTTTCCCGGCCGGGCATCGAGTTCCGCCATGTGCTTGGCATCCCCGAGCGGCCGGGTGGACTAGACCTGTGCTCATCTCTGTTCCAAGCTCATTTTGCTGGCGACTGGGGAAATATTCATAAACTAGTGTGTTGTGAAACGGGCGGGATTTTATTTGCGACGCATTTATCCTCCATGGTCAAAATACCCTTGGCGCTGATCCGCGAAGCGGGCAAACTTCCTCCACCCACATTTTCTGTCCTCAAACCCTCTTCGCACATTTCGTCTTCAGTAATCAACGATTCACAGGTGAAAAGGATCGAAATGGAGCGGGATTTGATCCCTGAAAGCGCGTCAGTACTGGTAATAGACGATGTACTCGCGACGGGGAAGACACTCTGTGCGGTGCTGCAGCTTTTAAACGTAGCCAACATTTCCATTGAGGAGGTTAAGGTCATGGTCGTAGCTGAGTTTCCGGTCCACCAGGGCCGGAAGCTGTTACGACGGTTTGGTTTTGGCGCCGTCAATATTCAAAGCCTTTTGGTCTTTGGGGGTGCTTAGGAACGAACTGGACATCTTTCCAATTCAAAATTCTCATAAGCTACGCAAACCGGAGCCAGAGACTATCTTATCGTTAAAGAGACTCCTATCCTCCAACCTGACACCTTCCGCACTAGAGGCCCTCGACTAACTTTTCATACTTTAAAAAGCCTTTTGTCGTAGAGATAAGCCGAAAATGTAAAGAAAGAGGGCAGATGTCACTGCAGTGTATCGTGATGGGGCATATGATAGAGGCGAGCCCGACAGACGATTCGGCTCTTGTATAACTACTTTCACCACAGCCCAACGACTTTACAAGGAGTCGCCAATGCCATAACCGGAATATGTGTGTAGGTGCACATGGCAGAAGACGGGCGAGTATCCGTCTTCCGGTGAACAGAGTTGCCACAAGGCTGGCGTAGAGGGGAAGAGGGTGTTTATCCTCCGATTCGTTCATACCCTATGCGAGGACTTGGCCAGAAGCGATCTGTGCACCTACGTGAGAATGTGCAAATTTTCCTAGACCAGAAGGTGACGGATAACAAATGGTCCAAAGCCAGGAAATCGATCTCGCTTATTTTATGATCAATACTATCCATCCGATGAGGGAGTCGAGGCTTTTCCAAATGAGATACAAGACCATATACCTAAAAAGCCATAAAATTCAACCCGCTTTGATACATGCCCTGATCACTGAATAATCGCGCTAGATTCGATTCCGCCTGCAATCTTCGCACACCCGCAAATGGCAGCGGCGGCATTGAAGGATATATTTCCGGTGGCAACTCCCGCACATTTCGCATTCAAACCGACGCCTACCGGACCCAAAGATACGCTCAAAACGCCCCGGATGCTCACATTCGTGGACCTCTCGTAACTCCTGCTGCATTCGTGCGACACGGAGTTGGCGATCGTGGGGCCGTAGCACCTGGTTGGCTTCTCGGTCCACAACTTCCTGGGCTCTCTCCTCTAGCCTTTGTTCGTCCCATCTCTGACAGGCGCAAGACTTCCATTTTGCACCACACAGGTAGCAAAACTGTGCCTTGCATTTACATCTAGTGATGTAGTCAGTTGTTATCATTAGAATATCGGGGTTAAGCGAGAAACACTTATTGGGACGTACGTTATATGATAGCAACCAATACCCAGTTCCACTAAACTCCGACAAGAAAAACAACGCTGCCAGCCTTTCGAATCGGCCAGTGCCAGGGTAGCTTGAAGAGCAGAATCTGCTGCACAGTCTTCCTGATGGAAAGAATTCTTACACATCGTGCAGGTTGAGAAGCCACATGAAGCACAGTCCGCTCGGTCTGCTGTGATTCTAGACGGAGGTATGAACTGGCAGCATTCCATGTTACTACAGTATGTCCTATCTGTAGTATTGTACTCAACTGCCGCTGCTTCAAACTGAGTTAACTCTTCTGCAGACATATGTCCCTGGATGAGAAGTAGAGGAATCAACACCCGACAGCATCTAGGTGGATAAAGTGATTCGTCCTTCGTAGCCCTAAGAAATAGATCCCTAAGGCAATCATCACAGTAAAGGTCAGAGCATTCCAGGCGAATAGTTCTGTGTGGTAGAAAGTCGTTCAGGCAAACACAGCACTGGACTTCTGTTTTCATTTTCTGTATGGCCTCTGCCTGTCGCCGTGCATATGTGATCGAGGAGCCGGCCGCTTCATTACTCTCATCACTGTCATCTGTATTTTTGAGCCGAGGCGTCAAGTTGCATTTTCCCTGGTCTGTTTTAGAACGGAGATATCCGGCCTGGGAATCTATTTCAAGACTCTCCAGTGGAGCATCGCTGGCGGCTGTCTCTCTTGCTAAACGTCCATCCTCCTGATCTTGCTTTTCTTGCTCTATGATGACCGATATTGCGGGGCCATCCACCTCGACAGCTCGAGCAATACTATTCGCAAGCTTTCGGTCGCCCAGGAATACTTTATATGCTGTCAACTCGTCCGAGAAGACTAGAATGGCATTTTCATAGTCAGGAGGCGCGTCAGAGCGGTACTTTCCCTTATCGTTGTCATGATAAATTTCTATTTCCGCAAGCTGCACTGCCAGAGCCAAATCTTCCTCATCCAAGGCTGATTGACTTGATTGACCCGGTTGGATCGGGGGGGTTGCCATGGTCGATCTTTCATGATATATAAGAAAGATTCAGAGAGGCTAAGAACTTAAAGCTAGACATCCAAGTCCCTGGTAAAGAGTAGGATAGGAAAATATATAGGGAAGCAAAAAATCTTTGAGTTGCTCCAAGAACCATGGGAGATTATAATAATTAGTGCCCCTCATTTGATTGGTAAAGCCTACAGCTCGTATTGTGTCTGAGACACCTTCCGTGCCCCACGATTCTCTCAAGGGTACTCAAATGGTAACACACCTTAAACAACTCGCCATTATGATCTTCATTTCTTCGGGCTTATATTTTGGTGATATGAGACCGGCTTCTACTTACCAAGTCAGTATAGTAGTAATAACACCGACCCACTTCCCTGCCGCAACGTGTATTTGTCATTACCACAAAACAGAAACTGAGTGATCCTCAGTTTTCACTTGTGTAAACGCCTCTACAAAACTAGGAAACCTGCAATCTCGAGTAGAGAATTCCGTAAGCTTAAATCTTATTCTACCATAACTGTCAGATTTAATATCCCCAGGAGCTTAAATACATGTTTAAAGCACATGTGTATCCAAGTAATTATGTTTTAGACGCCATCGAGAACACGGACGGGGATGATTACAACATACCCACTCATACCAGTACGCCAGAATCAGACAATGGCTTGGAACTTCCTATGTACTCGAGCCTTGACCGACTCACATGGCCCTGGAAAGAAAAAACGTTTATAATATGTCATCCAGAAACATAATGTGCCGTGGTGGTGGAGAGCAAGAAAGGGGTAGCATCGTACGAGATCATGCAGTTGTATCTGGCAAATTGGTATTCCAAACGTGAACTAGGAACCTAGACTGGAGCTAAAACGTGCATTCCAGTTTTCTGCCAAATCTGGCGGCAATGCACTGCGAACAACTCCACCGGGAATTCGCAGATTGAGAAATTTCTCATCCTCACCATGCTCAAGTTCAAGTTTTCGATCCTCTGTGCTCCGGGCGAAGGATACAATCATCTGCAGTAAAGAGGCAAATCGCCGCAAATCCGGCTGTTGAGATTGCTCCCACTGTTTGATTTCCTGTCGCACGTCCTGAACTCGGATATCATTGAACTTCCCGGACCTGTGGTAAGCGAGCACAAAGTTAGGAATCTGTCTGATCCATAACCGGCCCATCTGTTCTGAAAGGGTGTCGAAGTCGGCTTTCCTAACTGAACGTGTTTTCAGGTCAAAGATTGCACATTGTGGAATATAGCGACCCCTCTTGAGGATTCTGAGTGGACTTGGTTCCTGTTCAGGGATGGCTGAGTGAACGGTCGATATCGTAGCTGCTTGCATAGATGACAAGATGTCTTCAGGGCCCACATAATCTTTGTTGGAGATAGGGTCCTTCTGGATCTTCAAATGCTCTGGGATTAAGTCAGGAAGGTAACCGTCAGATTCAAACCGTACTAAGCATTTCATGTTGGCAAAGTCAAAGGTGATAAGACGTTGATGAGACTCTGAATTCCGAATGTTTTCACCCCACGTTGTGTATGCCTCTGGAAAAGTGTGTCCAAACCCTCGGACATTCTGGATGGTTTCGGTGGGTGAATTTTCCCTTCTGCTGAAGAAGACTGTGTCCCCAATGACCTCGATAAGCATTCTAAATGCGGGTCCCTTGCCGCACGCGAACCTCAACAGATTTCCCAGTGTGCTTCCACAACCCACAACATCCAAATCCTCGACACAAAAATCCCGGTTGTCTATCAGTACGGCTCGAACCATCGGCTCTAACGGATATGTGGGATGTCGTGCCGAGTTTAAATCACGAAAGTAGACACCGGAGTCCTCACGCAACTGAGTTGGTTCAGAAAGTGGCGTCCATGCTGGGGGTTCACCTGACGGAAGACATTGAGTTAAGGAGAGTATTCGGGTTTCTGGCGAGGGTCATTCACCTGGAACGATGATCTCGTGTTTTCCACTGACCCAGTTATAGGAAGTCAAATACTGCATATTGCTAATTTGGACAGGGTCATAAGATTGAGTTGTGCAATCTTCAAGTTCATGATGTTCGATTGTTGCAAGGACCTCACCCAGCGGTGGGGTTGGAATCGGAGGAACTGGTGACCTCCCACCCTTGCTCTCTATCCACTCATCTCTATTTCTTCCCCGAAATGAGTGATGAGCTCTCCTTCGGAAGGCCATATTTTTGGGTGGAAGATAAGTGAATTTGTTCGACGCAACAGAGCGGGCGATCGAGAGATCAGAACAGAACTAATTCGGTAGATGGCAAAAGGTCGGCGAGGGAAAAAGGAAGATCAAGATTGCGATGATGGTGATGATTTCCTTACAATATAAATACCTTTTTACAGTGCTGATGGTATTGGCAGTCAGCAACTGGGTTTATTGCAATTGTGTCACGTCGCCACGTCATGCCCTTGTTACTGATTGGTTCAGCCGGCCTCGCTTTATCGCAATTACGCGGGGTGGCGTAGGTCGGCACTGCTGCTTGGTAGCCAGTTACCCGTCAGTAAAAGCCAGGGAGGTACTGGTATTACCCCTCACTTTGTACCTGTACACCTTGCTGTGCTTTAAAGGCTGAGCAAGGCGAACTCCGACAGCGGCAACCTGCATGGCTCGAATCACTTCAAAGCATGTACGTTTGTGAGGTTACTTAGGTAGGTGGTGATCGTCGAAATGTGAAAGTAGAAATGTCTTCATGACCCCGTTGTGGCCTGCGTCTTATGAGATACTGACATTGAGCATGTGATAGCAATCTACGCATCTAGTTATCTTTCGGCCACGAATAGTCATCTGTCAGCGCTAACGCAGTGCAGTGGGCCTTGAAAGGGACAAGCCAAGGAATGGCATTAGAGAGGGGCGGGCAGCAACCTCTATTACCAATTTATTGACACTTGTGTGGATGTTCGGTGTTTTATGCCCTTCCAGTTGGAGTGAATTTGGCGGGAGATCGTTTATAACACCATCATAGTATATGCACAGAGTGGTTGGCAGCCTCACGTTGTCCGGAGAGTATAGCGGATTTCCAGAAGCGGTATAGTGTTATTGCTCTATTGGCAGGAACGCGAACATTGAATAGCGGATCTTGATTTACAGCTTAAAACAGTACCTACCGGAATGCAAGTATATGACGGGCTGGATATGCGACAGGACGATAGTATGGGTTCTTTAGATGCAACATAAAACAATACTGTGCAATGCCGCCACCTGAATCTGTCCCCAACTAGAACACTGTTCAGTGTGTTATTTAACTGGTACGCTGAAATAAACCAGCAGGTGCGACACAAGGGATAAGGAGAAAGATGCTACGGCTTGTCGTACGTTTTGCTTTGCTGAGGGCTTTAATTTCGAGAAGGAACAAAGGTCTTTGTAGCATTAATCTCAATGAATCGACATGATGTAGAGTGCGACACACGGTCCGAGAGCTCTAAATGTGAGTAGCCATTGTTGTCCCATATACTGTGTCTAATTGACGTGCGGAGAATGAATGAAGGGAAGTAAACCCATTCCCTCAAACAACACAAAGGAAAACACAGAAACGGCAGCTATAGGGCCGACAAAAGTGATCCGATAGAGCCGTGCCTGTAACGACAGGCTACAGAGACATAACGCTTCTACCGCCGTCCGAGGTTAACCTTTGCCGAATTTTAACAAGCAAGTTGCCATGCCCCAAGCGAATGAACTCCAGTCGACCATGTCCCTGCACTGTAGCCCCAATAATGGCACTTGGTGCAAATACAAGAGCCTCTCCTACGGAGAGTCCGACAATCTCATTGAAAAGAGAGGACGTCTTTGCAGATATCCCATCAGCTTTCAATTCTGTCTGTGCAGTAGACGGACCTTGCGCTGCTCCAGCTAAATGCTTTTGCAGGGATCGCAACCATTCTGGCGATGTGAAACGGTGCACAATAGTTACCGAGCAAAGATTTAGCAAAGATGTAGAAATCGTCGGTTCTTGCGTTGAGATTATCATACGAACTCCGAGGTGCCGTTGAAGTCGTACTGCGGACAAAAGTGTGTCTGTAAATCCACGGGCTTCAATGGAGTTGTTCATGTACTTAAATGATATGTGAGATCTTCGGGTGAATTTAAAGATTTGCAGGGAATTCAAACCTTATGAGCCTCGTCCAAGGCCACCACCCTTCCGACTCTTGCTTCCTGCTCAAGAAACAGGCCAAGGCAAATATTGAATAAAGAACATGCTGTATCAGGCGATATACAGGGACACGAGAGATCGACAATTGTCAATTGACGCGCCTGATTCCGGGATTAGTATATTGTGGCCTCATGATAAAGCGTTCAACTGACCTTTGATGTCCAGTCCGAGCCCCTCTGATGAGCCTTTTTCCCCTTTTTGCCGGTATTCGCTGATTGGCTAGGAGGCATAAAACTCTCAAGTGTCTCAAGCCGCTGACTGAGGGGATCTAATTGAGAGGGTGTTAGATTAGAAGAAAGAAGACTCCGTTTGAACGTTTGGTAATCAAATCCGGCTCCGGACTCCTGTTGAATCATGCGCATATCACGTAGTATGCGTTTAACGGTATGCATATACAGCGGCATTGGTCCATCATCCTGCCCAACAGCCATAAGCTCCAGCATCCGCTTTGTGTTGAGACTTTCCTGGTCAATACGCAACGGTTCGACCGATATGTTGAATCTGGAATACGTGCCCTCCTTAGTGAGTTAGCACACATCGAAGATGTGATACATATCTTAGTAAATCTCACCCGGATAGTATGGATGTTTGTAGGGGCGCATAGAACTCGCACGTTAATTTGGGGATGCGTGGACAGAAAAGCTGCCTCACAAGGTGACCCCATGCTATCGCTGATAAATGTATCGTAGTGAAACACCACTCCGGTAAGCGGACTGGGGAGATGTCCAGCTATCGAAGGTATCAAGCAGTTCTCCAGCATGCAGGATAGGGTGTGACTTTTACCCGAGCCCTGAGAGCCACAAATGAACGTGCTCGATGGAGGGCTGACATTGAAAAAAAGACGACAATCGTTGGCGGGAATGGTGGCGAGGCGATTGGGAATGTCACTGTGAACCCCTGCCAGCAGTCCGAATTGGGTGATACTAGGCGTCTCATCTGGATGATTCTGCACAAAAGCACAGCTTGTTACCAGGGGTGCGAGAGAGCTTTCGGTGCTCCCCTGACCTGTTGTGGCTGGCTCCAAGAGGCTCAGGTGAGATTGAAGGGCTTCGTCGCTAAAAACGGAATATTGACTGATAGATCCCATGTTGGCTAGAGGATGATGTACTGTGGCGTTGTTGAAAATAATTGTGATCGATGCTACACTCAAATTACTGAGGAAATCATGGCTTCTGTGGGTGGAGGATCGGTTATATACCTAATTTTCCTCGTTGCCGGCAATCGCACTACTGAACACAAGCAAGGGAGAAAGAAAGGGCAAAAACTGTTCTAGCAAGAGTAAGGAGAAGGCAATCGTTCGCATAAGTGTTGCATAAATGTTACAAACAAGTAATATGTGTATCCTTTGCCAGCTGATGTGGCAAATACGTCTCGCCGGGAAGGGGGGATTTGAGGTATATGGACATAGGGCTACACAAAGATCATAGGCACACCATCAATGAGATGCTAGACCGGGGCCTGGCATGGGAGCATCTAGAGATTTCAGTTGGTTTAAGAAACCCCAAAGGTTGTTTAAAGCAAAAGCAATCTCCCACTTATCTCGTGGACTTTTGCTCCCATCAAGTCTTTGCGATTAGCGACTCACATTAACCCACCAGTTAAAGGATCATGGAATACCAGAAAGCATAACAACAAACATCAACAGTGGGTCTTTGCGCGGCAGGCTAAGTTCCTCCTAGAAGGTGTACGTAATGCCGCAAAAGTAGTACCTCTGCCAATCTATTCAGATGCTTACGAGCTGCTTAAATTATACTAATAAGGAAACCCAAAATTCATTCAGCAACAGTCGGGTAGCGAGTCAGCACACGAGAGGAGCAAAATCCTGGACAGTTGTTGTTGAAACAATTTCGCCAGCCCCCTTTCCTGATTGTGTTTCCACAAAGCATGTTCGTTGAAGTCACATTGGCAAAGGACTTTCTCCACATTGAATTAAATAAAATAGAGATGGTGAACCTTTCGCCCCAGTCCTAAAATTCTACCTGGATCAACTGTTTTTAAAGAAAATGGTTGATAGAACCACAGTGTATCGCGCAATAGAGCCAGCAACAATGGCCAAATCGATTTACTAATTTCCCGAAAGATATTATCTTGTGAGTCGTTGAAAAGCTCAACAAAATCTTTAAACGTATTTTTGTTTGGGTCCAAAAGCCTACGAGCGTCAGAATCGCAGACTTTCACGAGCGAATATTATCTATCTGCTATCTGCAGTGACCGTAGTGTTATTCCTCGTCTTTAGATCGAACATGAGCCCCAATATCCCCTCTCTAAATATTCTCACGAGCAGATGCAGTCTTTTACTGAGCTTTCATATCCGCTTCATATAACGCAGTTTAGAACTATATTCACTAAAATTAACTAATATCTCCAGAAAACTTTCATGTACCATATCTTTAGCCACGCGTGCATTCTCTTTGTATATAGGATTTCCGCGACTTTGTTCGAGTCCGCCAAAAGTGACTGATATAGTATTCAAATGCCCACTAGACAAAAGAATATCACAATTATCACAACTTTTAAAAAGTTCCAAAACGTGATACTATCGAGAAAGCTGACTGCCCGCAAACTTTTTATCAAAAGCGAAGATCAGCCATAATCGCCCTCCAATCAAAAGCCCATCTTCTAACAAAAATGAATAATCGATATTCTCGGCTCTTTCATTGCATGCGATCCTATAGAGAACTACAATCTGCTAGATCTTCTCTATTTTCAAAAAAAGTGTGACAAGGAATTTGTTTTTAAGCTCAGGAAGCCTATGTTAGATCTCTGGACGCAAAGCTTTATCAATAGATGGCTTATAATCGTCATTTATACACTTTTGTTTCTCTCGCGCCAGAAAGTTGTTGATCATATGCTGGATGGACTCGCAGGAGGAAGTGGTCAGCTTTGATTTTGTAGTCCAAGTCGTGCCGAATTGTGCTATATTATCCAGTTGAGAACGGCTCATCAACCGATCGTTTTCTTGCTTATCAGTAAAAGTAGTTGATGTGGCTTCAGTATTCGGTTCAATGATACATATCGAAGTACACAGAAATAAAAAGACAATGTTATTTTAGACAATCGTACCCTATTTAAATGCTTCATTGTTTAAACATCAATCCATGTCCAGTTCAGGATCTGTCATTAAGATCTCTTTTGTTAGCCCATCCCTTTAAGGCTCTAACAATCGGCCAATAAACAGCCGATTTCTCCGGTCAAATA